TTCTATAAAATTTTATCTCCTAAAATACATACCAAGCATGCATGCCCTTAATTATAAGCAAAGTGGGCGTCCTTACATCTTAAGTTATTTCACATTTTATCTCCTAGAATATATGTGAACTTTTTTATTGGACACTAGTCGGTATTTTTTTTAGTTCAATATACTGTATAATATATTTACTAAAATAATTATTATTTTAAATTTAAAATTAAAGATAAATAAATTTATAAATATCATCATACATATAACATACAAAAATTAACTAAATCAATTATATTTATATTATATTTTAATAACTGAACTGAACTAGTATTGAAAGGTATGTCTAATAAGAGAGTTTGACAGTCATTTTCCTTTCTTATTTAATTTACATTTTGGTATGATCTCATAGTACGTTTGATATTATTGTTTCTTTTCTCCTAAGCCAAGACTGAACAATTAATGCAACGTTCCCATGTATGCTGATTAAAGGATATAGAATGACAGCAAATCATGGCAATATATAACTAGAAAAAATCATTTTATAGTTTAGACTACATTAGACTAAATCTGATAATAAGAATGGATCTTACCATCTATTAGATTATGTTTTGCAATCTAATGATTCACAATTTCACATAAAGAATAAAACTATTTGTAGTATGCATGTAATTTCACTTCTTTAGGGTATGTTTGGAATTGTTATGAGATACTATAACTGAAAATTATTTTGGTATTTAGTTATTTATTTTCTAAAAATATTATAGATAAAATATAGTAAAATTTTATTAATTATTAATTAAAATTTAAAAAATATTGTATATTAATTATTAATAATTATATAACTATTAAAATAAATAACATTTATTACTTTTTAATAATTTAAGTTTTTTAAGTTTGTTATGATAGATGCTTTTTTAGGTTTCGTGGGAGAGCAACTATAAGAAGGGAACAACTTTTTAAATTTTTTATAAAATTTTTAAATAAACAAGATGTTAAATTTAAATAAAATATTATAAATTATAATATAATTAAAATATACAAAATTGAGTTTTAATGAATAATTTTGTAATTTTATTAAATATTAAGTGTTGTCTGTGAAAATTATAATCAGAATATTTCAAAATGAGATTTCTAATTTTATATATAAAATTACTGTGAATTTATTGCAATTTTTTTGTAACTTCCTATAACTTTTAAGAAAAAAGTAATTCAAAAAAAAATTCCCAAATATACATATATTTAAAAGCATGATACGTCTATAAGAAAAAACTCCCAACTACAATTCCAATTGCGCTCTTAATATGATTCACCCAATATATATATAAAATTCCATTGCTTTGTTAATGTTAGGAATTTGTCTTATAAAGTAATTGATTAAATTATTAGAAAAAACTATTTCATATATGTAAGATTAGGGTTTGAACCCCAATTTTCCCTCATCTCTTTTGTGGGTTTCAACTAGTTGATATATCCTATTAAAAAAGAAAAAACTTTGTCACTATTATAATCGGAATTATATCAACATTATCTTATCTTTTCTAGCAAAAAAGAAAAAAATTAGGGAGGTATTCATATCATTACTTAACCTTCTTATTATGAGTTGTAACCACCCTTGCAAACATTGAATTAAGCTACTTTTTAAAAAAAAGGGTAATTACATGGTTGTGAGATTGATTGTTATTGTTTGAGTTTCACTTTGAATTTACTTTTATAAAATGGTGATGCTAACAAAGAAAAAAAAATGTAATTCCCTTAAAAGGAAAAAAATTATTGAAAACGCTTACTGACCTTTGTGTGCAATAACGCCTTTGGCTTGGTGAGCATCCTCTTTGCTCCTTTCCTTTTAGCAAAGAAAAAAAAAGTAATTATAATTGCCTACTTAAAAAAAAAAAAACTGTTGTAACCCATCGAACACGTTTTGGAAGACTGACTTTGGTGGGTAGTGACGCCTTTGGCTTGGTGAGCGTTTTCTTTACTGCTTTCCTTCTTTAAAAGGAAAAAACAAAAATTGCAACCCATTGGAAACGTTTCGGAAGACTGACTTTGGTGGGCAGTGATGCCTTTAGACCCTAGCGATAAAGATGTCCCAAAAATACTTCCCTAAATTTTATTAAAATAAGTAAGGTATTCTAACTCATTTCTCACGTTATTAGAAGCTACTAAACCAAAATCAAGATTACATATCAATCCATAAAATAAGAGGATTTATTCTTGTTTCTTGATATTCACTATTGGCTAAGTATGAAACTAACTAGTAAAATATATAGAACCTAACAAATTTGTTTTATTAGCGAACAAGTATTCACATTACATATTGACTTCAGAGAAATATTAAAGAGAGGATTCTGCACCTGATTTTGTAAGCGAATAGAAGGCTCTCCTAGGCCATCTTTAAGGAAAGATATGATATTATGTGATTAGTAATAACTTTATGTATATCAACTCTAGCCAGTGACGTTTTTGGCTTAATGGTAAAAATTGAGGCCTTACAATTCATAACTTAT